GATATCATCGGAATAGTGTCGGATAAGACTTGCTCTTGGATCGTTACTCACACTTGCGTGTGGCTCCAACGATGATGTGTACAGCTGCCCATAGAACCTCTCAATCTCACTCAAAATCTCAGGTGTCCCGGAAACGATGTTGCCACACTCAGTCTTCAGCTTTGACAGTTGGCTCTTTCTGGCAGACAGATCTCTGGCAAAGACTTTGGAGCCATGGTTCCGCTCGATCGCTTCTTTAATACGAGAAGTATTAAAGTTGCGTAAGTCTCGCCGCATGCATTTGGAGATCTGTCTGTTCAGTTGCCTGTATGCTGTCAAATCTGTTGACGATTGCAGCCTCATCTCCCGTCTAACAGCCATGAGATTAAGAGTGTGATCGGAGAGTTTTTGTTGTTGATGCCGTGTAGTGGCGGTTGAGAATATCCACTACCCCATATCTTCCCGTGGGTGTCGTAAAAGGCGACAGAGGGAGACAGGCAGGAGATGGGCAGCAGCATCTTCCTGATAACAACTGTGACGTAATAAAAAACTGCGGTTGCCAACCCGCTCGCCAAGCGTGGCAACTATGGCAAATACCCCCCAATGAATAAATAGTCCACATAGTCTAACAAATTCCAGCACCCCGAACAAGATGGTTTTTGAAAAGGATTGAGTAACATAGACCACATACATACTCTTCGGTAGGCAAATAGTGCAAAAACAGAAAACTGAAGAATACAAACTACCACTTGTAAAGAAATATGTGTACTATGAGAAAGCCTTTGAATCCGTCGAAATTTGAGCGGTGCTACAGTCCCTTCAGCAGTGCCAAGTTGACTGTTGGTATATCGAAGTTCTGAAGTGTTTGTACAGTAGGGCTACGATGGTTATCCGAGAACAGAACCAGAGTACAAACCCTGTCCAACTGCTTAGAGGTGTAAGAAAGGGTGACGTTATATCCCGAAACTTCACTGTTGCATTGGAAGACGGTTTTAAGCTACTGAATTGGAAAGGATACCGTATTACATCAATGGCCAGTACATCACTCATCTTCCATTTGCTGAGGGTATGTCAATATGGCAGAACTGTTGGAGGGCTTCAACACTGCTATTCTCAATGACTTCAATAGTGTTTCCAAACGGATAGATCTTAAGATGGACATTGAAAAGACGATCATATAACAATAAGTCCCCCAGACCGAATTTCAGTGATGACATACGGATCAGAAACGTGATATTTCACATCTAGGCGTTAAGGTCAAGGATTATGCTCGGAGTTTTTCATTGTGATGTTCATGTTTATGTTCATGATCCATTGTGTTGAACCACTTACCATCAGGTGGATTGTGTGCTCCATATATTATTATAAATATACTAGCGAACCACCCCGGCTTCGCACGGGTAATTTCTGGATCTCGACAACAGCGCCACCTACTGGATCCAACTGAGTTTTTAAACCATCGAAGGACCCACTCAAATACACACAAAGTTCGAGCGGTTTTCGAGTTTTAGCGAGACTAACGGACATCAATTGACTTTAATTTTTATATATATAAGATATCAGAGGGTTGCTCGTTCATCACCCCAATTCTACATTATTTTAAAATATCGGAGTAACCGATATAGCCCAACGGATCGGTAAGCTGAAGTAACAACCAGCCCGGTGGTCATAAAGCTCGAAAAGGCCGGTAAGTAAGGGGAAACAAAGGTTCTCGAGTGGCAGCCGCGTACCCGTAAGCGAAGTTTAGAGCGGCTTCTCCCTGTTTAGATTGGTGTAGGTAGTTTTATACCTTGCTTTGTGACATTCTTTGGGGGACGTAAACCTGTCCTGTAATGATGATGATAAAAAAGTCAAATCAACAAGAAAAACAAGTGAAATTTGGCTTATTCGATCACTAATCTTCATCTTATGTAGTCAGCCATTAGGCCTAAAGGCAAGTGATGCCTACTCATCGGGAGTTCGTATTTATTGTTAGGCAAGTCTCATGCCGGCTGTACACGCTCGTCGAGACACCACGAGACAGGCCTAGAGGCGAGCGTTATTTAACATTGTTCTTAAAAACTTCGCGTTTTCCTTTATAAATATTATAACATGTATAGTTTTCCTTGTGAATAAACATTTAAAGTGTATATAAATATTTAGTGTACATAAACAGACATAAAATTGGTGTAAATAAATAATAAATATTTTTTGTATTAAGTTAATTTTTGTGTATTATGTGGATCATAATAATTATGTGATGTGATGGACAATAATACTTAAATACTTACATATTTTGTAACTGTATAAAATTGTACAAAGGTACTAATATTGACAATGTCGCGCACATGTTATAATACCTATAACCTGTTACGTATTCGTAATCATAACATAACACAGTTAAACTAATATTATAATACCTACCTATAATATGTTAATATTTTCGTAATTATAACATAACACAAACGCAAAACTAACCTACGCTGTACTGTATACATATGTAACTAATTACAAAAATAAGCAGTTTTGAAACTAGTTACTCATATCCACGAAACTACGTACAACCGATTACGTCCAAGACGTTACGACCCATGTCTAGACAGGGCGAGTACGAGTGTGTACAGGGTGCTCTCGTCGCGTCGCGTCGCGTCTCGTGTCCCTCGTGCGCTCTCGGAAGCGTGTCGGTTTTTTGCGCTCGAGTCAAAGGGTCTCGTAGGTATCGCGATGAATACCGAGAGCGAATGATGATATTACTTAACGTGTATAACATGTATAATCAAGCAGAAAAATGCAAACTGTATTATGACATTTTAATATGTAAAAAGTCAAAGGTCGACATTATAACTATACATCAAAGTCTCTACGAAAACGTACTTATATATAATCGTTAGGTTTTAATTGCTGCTAAAGAATATTCTGTATTTTGTGTACACTTAGTTAAAGAGGTAAAATATTTTGTATTTGTAATTTCTGTTTTGTCTCAAGACGACATACGTGATTTTATTGTTAATAACTTTTTTTTTGATGATAATGTATAAAGAAGTGTAATACACTGTAAGAAAGTTTATTAAATACAGTGTTTAATGATATTATTCATTTTTTTTTAATTTCATTTAAAATATATATGTACTTAAATTTATGAAGAAACATGTGTTTTTTCCGGGACTAGTTGAACCTCTCTTTTTCTTTACATAATTACAGTCATCTTTCAATAGATCCTGCTAAGTTTTACAAATCTCATAAAATATTTCATACTCTTAATACCGATATCAATATTTAAGTCTTAAGTGCCAGGTTTATTGAATAATTATTTACTTTATTTATATATATTTATATATATATTTTAAATATTGTATAACAGGTAGTCGCTAACATTCTCGATATCGATAGTACGCAAGACGACACAAGTATGTGCGCGGGTGACTGGACGCAGGGAGACACTACATGGAGCTAGCGCGTCGCCCGTTGCTATGGTTTCGCTTCCCCGTATGTCATACCGCACCGCACTGTTCATCTTTCGTGGCGCAAGCCGCAAGCTATACACTATTCTATTCACCGTACATGGTACTGTTACGGTAAATTAATAGAAACTATCCACCATCTCCTTCTTAGCAATGGGTTATTAATTTTATTTTTAGTAAATGTGTAAAAAATATAATAGTTCAAAGGCAAAACGCAGCAAGCGGGCATATGGAGTTCAAACTTCAAATGATACAACGAGTGTGTACATGGTGTGTTCTCCGTCGAGCCGAGACGTGACGTTTACGTGACGAGAGGCACACGAGGTGACGAGATGAGCGTGTTCAGCCGCCATGAGCTACATACATCTAGGGTTGCCAGGTCTTTAAACCGAGAAGCCGAACAGACCATCCAGCTTTGCCAGACATTTTGGTAAAAAGGCCGGACACCCTTAATTATTCAGTCTTAGTATAACACGATAATATATTTTTTAAAGTAAAACAATGCTAACCTTATATCATTTACTACAAAATCTTAAATTAAAAGAATCAGTGTTCTTTATTATTAATCATTCAATATTAATTACAATATTAGTTTCAATAATGGCAATAGGTAGTATGTATTTAAGTACATGAAAAATGTAAAAAAATGGTCAAATATAAAAAGTCTGACAAATGCCGGACATGCCTGGACACCGTCTAATTTGGCCGGACACGCAAACAAAAAGCCTGACTGTGTCCGCCTTTATCCGGACGCCTGGCAACGCTACATACATCTGTATACAATACAGTATAGCGTAGTTCTGTGTTTGTGTTAGGTTTTATTACAAAAATATTAACAGATTATAGGTATTATAACATTAGTTTAACTGTGTTATGTTATGATTATGATTACGAATATATAACATTTTATAGGTGTTATAATTATAATATGCGCGTGACATCGTCAATATTAGTACTTTTGTACAATTTTATGGTCACAAAATATGTAAGTGCCTAAGTATTATTGTCCATCACATCACATAATTTTTATGATCCACATCTTGCGTGTAAGCCATTAACTATCCCGAAGGGACTCTTTACTCTCGTTGTGCGAGTCGTATATCGTGTTACGTACCTACCTATATTCATCTTAATAATAATCTATTCAAAACGAAACGCTTACGCGAGCGCCGGTCGTGGTGTGTGTCAACTGCGTACGTAAAATAATCATTACATTTTGTCCACGAACTAGGTATACGATTATCAAGCTCGTAAGCAGTTTCTGAAACCGATTATGTTAAATAATGCTCACCTCTAGGCATGTCTCGTGGTGTCTCGACGAGCGTGTACAGCCGGCATCAGGTTTAAAATATTTATTGTGGAAATACGCAAATCGAAATGTAAATATGTATGCGACATTAAGTGTCAAATTTCCTAATTTACATTTTAGCTTGCATATTTTTACGAGATTTCTTTTGAGACTACTCTTGTAAAGGTAACAAGTTTTATTACTTTTCTTTAGGCCTAGAGGTCTTGTCATCACAGAGTTTTAGTTTACTAGAAATAATAAAACAAGTTCGTGCGTATTATTTATTATTCTCGCTACCTGCTCCTCACGAGCAGAATTGGAAAATTTTCCGTCACTAAATAATCGTCTTCGAAGATGACTGCGACGTTCAACTCGAACTCTGAAAACAGAAAACATATCGTTCAATTATTCTGGTGTTTAATCACAATCGGTATTAAAATTTACGATTAGAATTAGTTAAGCTTAAGGTCAGCGAGGTTAGCTAAGATTACTTCCTACGATCGTTAACGCTATAGAAAACTATAAACATGAAGTGACGCCACAAGTGATGTCACAAATGACGTCACAGCCGCGTGACTTTACGTTCAGATATGTCACTCCCATTCGTCTTGGTTAACCCCATTCACGCCTTATTAAATTTAGGAAGTTTTGTGTATCAGTTGCTTGTTAAATAATATTTTTAGATTGCCATTTTTCTTAAAAAAAAGATCCTTTTTGTATAATGCATATAGTTTTTTCTTTCTTTTATGTTGTTTTGGATTGCCATTTTAAAAAATAGATACAAATACAAATAATTATTATATCATAAGAAACTGAAAATGTTAATTTTGTGCTATATATTTTTTGTTTGCACCTTACAGTATAGTGCGTATAGCATTACTCTGAGGTTTGTCTATTAATTGGTTAAAATAAATTTAGTAAATATTAGCAGAATTCTATCAAGAGAAGCCATGACATAAAAGAAGAAAAAAATGACATTTGTTTGTCAACTTCTTTCATGTTGAAAAAATTTTCTCAAATTATTTCATAGGTTTAGATTTTAATATTTATTATTGCTTTTTGCTTGATCGCCGTTATTGTCGCTTCAGAATAATCAATTATCGTTTGCAAGTATTTCTTCGTGATTGTGTAAAGATTTTTTGTAGATGTTGACTCTATATGAGATATTGCCTATAAACAAAGAGATTTAAATATATATATATATATACACTATACTAGGCTACTAAACATAAACTAAAATATTTGTAAATAAACAGTGACGTTACTGGATAACAGAGGGCACTTATTACAATAATTTTTCTTTCATCTAGAACAATCTACTAGAAATAATAAAATTTAAAAATTATTTGGTTAATGCACATTATTCTTACGGTAATAAACCGAAATCACGTTCATTTTTTGCTCCATATCGTGACTTACAATACTTTAATGCATAACCGGGCATATTTTCTTCAAAAATATTTTTTAAATTTATGAAACGAATGCGTCTTGACCTTTTGACTTAGACTAAATGACAAATATCGGAGATATATCCTATAGGACAAAAGTTACAGACGACAATTTTGTTGCTGATGTCCGGTCTATTGCTACCTATAAATAAATTTATTATTTAAAATAAAATTGCACGACGTGTGATCAGAATCGAAATTAAGTTAAGTGTAATGTGGAAACAAACAGCACAAACTCATCTGATCACTTTCCGCAGGTTTCCTACAATATAATAAGAAAAACTTATGAAAATATTGTGCAATGTAGTTGTTCTTTAAACATTTTATTTAAAGAATTTATTGACTGTAGGAATTTTTACTATGTCGACTAGAACTTTATCTGTTTCAGATCAATTATTGGAGTTGAGTAAAAATTTTACCACGAGAATTGCGCTAATTTAAACATTGAGTTATAAATTATAATGGTAAGTAGTACTTTATAAATTATAACTCCATGAATTTAAATTTACGTTACTGGTCAGTGAAGAATAATATTGACAATAACATACATTACGTATCAATAACATGCGTGGAGATATTATGCAATGTCTCCACAATAAATAATGTTCAAGTTCATAAAACAATCTGTCTTCCAGAAAACAAAATTACATAACTATACCAGTATATAATTTTATTTTATTCCACATGCTCATGTAAAGTATATTCGAGTAATTTTGATGCCAACTCTCAAATGTATAGGGATTTACCCCTTAGGCTTGTGAGGCTTGAGTCAAAATTACTCGAATACGTCTTAAATAAAAAGTTTAAAGTTACAGAATACCAAGGTTTGAAATTCCCGCTAAAAAAGTTTCACTGTGGCGCTACAAGTATACATATAGACGCGTGTTTCATCTTTTAGTTCGGAGATGGCGTTCTTCTCTCGGTAGAGAGAATAATTGTGTGTAAAAAGTCAAATTTCGACCATGTACGATATTAGTCTGAATAGTTTTGTGTAGTGTCCGACCGAAACTTCGGCTTCGGCTACCTGCGGCCAAAAATATCACCTTTGGCGAAACCTTCGGCTTTTGAAGGTTTCTAGCAAGCACCGAAATCGAACTAACTGTTACGAAAGAGCGAGAACGCGATGGTCGTAGTCATGATCAATTTCTAGAGACGATTAAAACTGAACGCACCTTTGTCAGCACCGTACGCACCGCACGTGCCATATGCGCCGCATTTAGTGAAGGCACGCACATTTGCGTACGCGCCGAACGCAAATCTTTTGTATTGCCAACAACTTTTGCAGTATTTTCCAACCACTGATGTGAAACGACACAGTGACATTAATTGCTCCGAATCACTCGGATCCCTATTAAAAAAACTGTAATAGCCTGCTTATTGTCAGAGGGAGAGAAAAATAAAATTCAAAGATAAGATTCTGGATTTACAATATTAATTTAAATATGCAGTTGTATAGAGAATATTATACTTTATTTAAACACTTATTAGATGATAATGATTGATTTTTCAGATATTTGCATTTGAAATACAAGAAATTTCAAGAAATCCTACATTCACTAAAACCTTATTAAATTACTCTTTTCCATTTCTCAACTAAAATGTCGAAACCACCAGTTTTAGTGAAAATTTAGAGTATCAGTACGCGGCGAACACTCCGCATTATATGACATACGTAGCACGCCTCCTTCAATAGTCGGATACCTACCGCGTTTTATAAAATACGGCGCATACGGTGCGGCTGCAATGCGCGAGGTTTCATATAATCTCATACAACAAATTCTAAAATACGACGCGTACGGCGCGTGCGACTTGTACGGTGTTGACAAATGTGCGTTTAGCTTAAAATTGCCTTTTTATATTTTACAGTGTATAACTGGTATTTGTGAAACGCTCCCGAAAACGAAGACGGACGATATAGTACTAACGATACCTTTGATGATGGGACCAAATGAAATTCGATCCCGATGAAAAAAAAAACATTTTTTTACGTTTGATTAGCTTTATTCACGCTCTATCATATTAGTACAGCCAAATAAAACGATAATTTCATTAAAAAAAGTCATGAAAATACTTAAACATAAAACCAGCAGTGAAATTTCAAATACACAACATCAGCTGATAAGGGGTCAATATACGCGCGGCCCGCAGCCCGCCGCTACCACAGCGAGGCGACACGAGTCGGCCGAGCGGCGTCAGCGCGTGTGAGAAAGGGAAGGGTAGAGTGAGCGAAGTACAGTAATACCCAATGCATTCTTTCGTACGGAGCTAGATAAAAGAGTTCAGCGCCCGCGCGTTTATTGACCTTATAATCAGCTGGTACCATTTTAATTTCCATTACTGATTTTATTTTTCAGTATTTTCATGAAACTTTTTATGAAATTATTGTTTCATTTAGCTGTACTAACACGATGGAGCGTGAATAAAGCTAATAAAACGTAGTGTAAACATGATTTTTTTTAACTTCCCGCTAAGAAAATTAAAAATTTTCAAAAATAGAGAAGTTATTGGTTTCACCCCGATTTTCGAAAATCGAGCTTTCATCAGATCTCGACGTTTTGAGATCCCAGGAAGCTATTCTTACTAATTTCACGTGGACGTCCGTACGGATATATGCATGTATGTGTGTGTGTGTGTAAGTATGCAAAACTTTCATAACTTTTGAACATCTTGATCGATTGAGATGCGTTCTAAAGATCTCAATGTGGAATAGATTTGGTGATAATATGAACCGATTCGGATGAGTAGATTTTGAGAAATATCAAAACTAAAAATTTTGAAAAACTGTTGTTTTGGAATACCTTTTAAACGGCTTTACCGATCGATTTCAAAAACTAATCAGCTCTTAACCTCAAAAATGACGTCAAATGCCGTTTGGAAAATAAAAATCGGTTCATTCGTTCGTAAGAAATCGAAGGAGAAATAATTTGGAAAAACCTTTTTTAACATAATTTCGAGATTTCTCAACGTAATTTGGGGAAATATGGAGCGCTTTGCATTTGAAATTAGCTGGAAGTTCCAGGGGTTTTCATCGGGATCCATTTTCTTTTGGTCCCAAGTCCAAAGCTATCGTTGGTACTATCGTCTATCTTCGTTTTCGGGAGAATTTCAAAAATATCCTGTATAAACCTTTAATTGAAACCTATAAAAAGTTTTAAAATGATTTATATTATTAATTTTAGCCAATTTTGAACTGAATATCTTAGAGATGTCAAGTTTCGACCAAAGGTTGTGGCGATATCCCAATCGGTTTCTGCTTCGGACAGAATTCGACCTTCGGTCGGACACTAGTAGTGGGTGGGTGGTGTAGTGAGGTGGCACTGGTACCTATCTTGAAGTTGACCGTGGAGGTGGTGGGGCAGGTGAAGAGGCGCGGCAGCACCATGTGCAGCGGCACGTCGCGCGCACGCACCACGTCGCCCTCACCCACCTGGATGTTCTGGATCTCCGTCGCTGCACAGGCAAGTACACACACGCAGCGTTACACTGCTGCATTCACACATATTAGCATAATATATGACCACGTCTCCTTCGCCCACCTGGATGTCTGGTTGTCACCCCTGAGGACTAAGATGGAATACCCTGATTCCAGTAAAAAGGATCTCCGGTTCTCTACACTCACCATACGAAATACAGCAGCATTAAACTGCTATTTTACGCTGGTAAAATAGCAGTTTAATGGTGGTGAGAGCGTAGTCCCACCCCGGTCTTGCCGACCCATTCGTGCTATAACATTAGTAAATCTGCACCGTGGCTCTACCATGTGTAAACCCTTTTTATTACCATTATGATTTACCTTGAGATAAATTCATAAAGAAAGTTTATAAGAGAGTTCAAATTATCAAATTATTTATTCATAGGACACCAGCAGCACACACAATATTACATTCTTGTTGCAAGTAGGCTAAATCTAGGAACGGATCAGATTCTTTTAAAATTAGACTTCTGAAGTCATGACTTTAATTGTTCAATACACAATGTCTCGAACTATTAAAATCTGTAGAAGCTAATTTACTACGAATACTGCAGACTTCCGAAGCTATGAGGAAATTATTAAAAAATTAATATCAAAAACTGAAGGTAGCCGGACTAACTATGACATTGGGACGTCAAACATCTCAGTCCCCCCCCCCCGTGACCATAGGTGCTGTAAAGCACCCGAAACGTTGGGAATCATAAGTTACGAGAAAAAATCCCTTAAAATTAGTTTCATTTAATGTTTATTATTCGCGTAAATTTAAGAAATTATTATGGTTTTTACTATTAACTTTTTATTAAAAGCTTAAATTTTAAGGCAAATATATGTATAACTCGAAAAAAAATACAATAAACAAAGTGTTGCGATAAGCTCACCATCTTTGGAATAGCCCTCAGCACAGCCGCACGTCTCCACGCGGACCAGCTGCAGTTCTATGGATTTAATTGGAACTGAGCACTCGTCCACTCGAATCTGTAACATTGGACCACTCAATTTATATTATCTTTATCAGCTCTATGAACCCAAAAGGGGATTGCCCACTCTTCATAGACATTTCGGCCATGGGTGCCCACATATAAAATCATATAGATATGATAATATACAATTAAAAGAATGAAATGGTTAAGAAATTGGTTTAAAAAAAGTCGGGAATTTTAAGATATAAAAGTTTTTATTTTCACAAATACAGTTTTTTAACAACTAATTTTACTGATGTTATCGCGTTTAATTTCTTTGATTTTTAATTCCCGACGTTCCGAGTGCTTTCCAGCACACATGGTCATTGGGGATTGAGGTGACTGGTGTACCGAAATCAGTGTTAACTTGGAGTAACTTCAGCTTTTTAATAACTATTTATAGTCCGATCTACGCAGAATGAACTTACTGTCTTGAAGTCTTGCGTGGTATGCTTGGGTTTAGTTTTAATTTTATTAATTACAGGGTCCCAAGCAGGTGGGAGTACCCAGCTTCCTTCTCTATTGAAATTAGAATGTTTTTAATTTCAATAGCCTCACATATCATCCTTGGCAGGAATCGATGTTCTTTCGCGAGGATTTGTGGTCTATCAAATCTGATATGTGTATCTTCTTCAGCGGCTTGTAGAATAGGAGCTTGCTTCAAGATGTAGCCAATCTTGTCTGTGACACCTCTGACATCGACTGTGCCCGACTTCACTCGGTCGGCAGAACTTGCTTGACGTGCTGAAGCTCGGCAGCCAGGTGTTTGCGGTCACAGATCCCTTGTGCTCTCTGTAACAAAGAGTTGCCCATGGTAGCTAACTGTGAAGGATGATGGTGAGATTCACCGTTTAAATATTGGTTTGTATGGGGCTTTTTTTATATACAGTGTACACCTATGGTGTTAATAGAATTTCGGATGACTAACACATCTAGGAATGCTAAGGAATTATTTGCCTCTAATATAATATCATAATCACTGAATGGAATTTAGCACAGAGTGGTAACAATGGATAAAATCCATTGGTTTTTTTTGCGCCCGAAGCAATTGGAAAGGGCTACCCTTTATGAAGGGAGGCGGAAAATGCATTACGCATACCACGATAGCCGGTCTATCGTGGTTATGAGGGACTCACTGCCTACCGAGGGAACCTAAGTGATACCCTCTAAAAACCGCCTTTGGGGACTGGCAACTGTTTGTTTAAGCCTCTTATGCCGTATCGGAAGCGACCCTCTTTTGGGAAAAGAGGGCGCAGGAAAAATTCATAATTTCCTCCCAAATAAGCTAGCAGGACCTGTCGGCAGATCCCAGCACTCCTACTGTGGGGGAGGGGGGGGGCAAAGGCCTTAATAGGCAGATTTGTTGTCATAATGAGATGTGTTCCAAGGGTTTGGGTATGAAAGTGAAAGTCACATTCATACCCAAACCAGGTAGGAGCGTATATGCAAATCCTAAATCCTAGAGACCCATTAGCCTCACATCCTTTCTCCCAAACACTAATGTGTGTAAGGGAATTAAGGGGGTCGACGCAAATTAACTTAATTATTATTATATTATAGGACTTATATATAAGTTTTTATTATTGCTTGGCTTTAATAACCACATTATTCCTGCCTACACGCAAAATACACGCTTAGACGTGGAGTTGCGGAAAACAGCCCGTCGTAAACTAACTAACTAATATCATAATCAAGTTTTGATCAGATCTTTATTTATTTTATGATTTTTTTATAGGATAGCGTGACAATCGAGCGCACAGTCCATCTGATGGTAAGTGGTTGCTGTGGCCCATAGACATCAACATCTATCCTCGATTACGAATCAAAATACAGATGCGTTGCCACCCGTGAGGACTAGGATGGAATGCCTCGTTGCCAGGGTCTCTGGTTCTCTACACTCCCTATCCGAAACACAGCAGCATTAAGCTACTATTTTACGCTGGTACTCTGTGAGAGCGTGGTCCTTCCCTGGTAGAGCCGACCCATTCATGCTACAACTATAACTGCAGCATGACCCTACTACGTACGAAAAATCTTATCTTATATATACAATCTTATACAACATTTGTATCATACACAATCAATACATTATCCAGGAATTGAGCAGGAGGCGAAATATTAGACTGATGCCGTGCCTAACCCAAATACCAAATTACTGTCATAACATGGGCACAGCATCCTACCGTACGACGGCCGACAATACAATTGCAACAATACTTTTTAATTGCACTTCTACCAGAATCATTGCCACTAATTAAAATATATATAAAATATACTTTACGACTGATGTGTCGACTTGCGATTCTAGCGCAAAGTAAAGAGCAGCTAGGGCTAAAGTTTATTCCTTCCGTAATGCTGCTCCTGTGGTTGTTACATAGTTCTATCCGATAGCAACCATTAAATCTAATATGCTCACCATAATAGGAGCGAGCTTGCTTTAATTGGTATGTGCCACAAGCAATGAATATTAAATCATTGTAAGTTAAAACAGGAAATTCCCTAACATTTTCAGAGTCTACATTTATATTTCTAAAGTCTAGCTAGCCCTAGCTCTATTTAGATTTCGTTCCTTAACATACTCAGACAAATCATTATTTGTCTCCATATTTTGGTGAACTATTTCAAGTATTTGAGCCGCATCATCCCTGTCCCTTATTTTAGTGTGGAATTTATTAATTAGAGCAGCAGCCACAGCAAAGTCTATCATCAAATGTTTAGAAGCCCTGTTAAAATAATTTTGGCGAAATATTTTAAATTGAGTTTTAAAAATGCCATTCACCACCTCGACTACCCATCGACACATAGTCACGGCTCTGGACTTATTAGCTTCTCTAGTCGTTAACTGAGATTCACCATCGGGTGGAGACAAAGGTACATGAACCTGATAACCACAATGTTCTAAAAGAAGCAATGAATCCCTAAAGCCTCTATCTAGGATGAATACATCTCCAGATTCAAAATATTTCCTTTATGAACTGGATTCATTACCAAATGAATTTTTTATGATATCCGCATCTGAGGTTGTTGCAGGATAAGGGCCTAAAACATCTATGATGTAACCATCACTACACACAAAAAGGAAAGGCTTTATAAGATTGCTATATTTGTGTAATGAGTAAGTTTTTTCTGATATAAATAATTGGAACTTTTTTCTATGTATATATATGTACCATCGGCAATTATGACAGGCCTCCTATTTTCTCCCCCATAAAGTCCATTTGGAATGAGAAGATTTCTTTGAGCTATTTCTGCTCGGGATAAAGAAAAAAATCCTGATTAATTATTTCGCGGGCCATATTTATAAGTGATTCTTGGCACTTGCAATAATGCTGACATGCGTTCGTCACTATCTCCTATTCTTAACTTCATTAAATATGCAGCAAGTGCAAAACAACCCCTATGTTTACTTGACAGTCTAGGAACTACAGACAGAATTTGTTGGTATTGTGCCTTTGATAAGCCTAGATAATAATGTACAGTGTGCTCAGGTACCAGGTGCCAGGTATCAGCTACTGTCAATATTTTCAAAGTCTATATGATTGTGCATATTATCTTTCAATAATGTAGCAAAATCTTCAATTTGTGCTGCACTAAATGTTTTAATAGGATTATATATTGATTCTAAAAGTAAATCCCAAGAGTTACTATTTAAATGGTAGTTACAGATTCTACATTCTGGAGGTACATAGTAATTGTAATCGCAAAAAAGACGTACCCGCAATGCTGTTGGAACAATGAGTCGATTGGACTCGTTACAACCAGGAAAAAAAACATTGATTTTGTGTTAGTGGTGCTCTTACATAATTAGGCAGCAGTATACTGTGTGATATATGATCTAAGCTTTGTTGATCTGGGTGCAATACATTACCGACTTCAGATTGCAACGAGGATGAACTAGATGATTCAGATGGTTCCCGTTCTGCAGTTGAATGTGATGCTGCTCTATCAAACCTTCGCCAACAATTATGACACACACGAGATGACGATGGCAACTGAATATTATTAATATTAAATACAAAAGTGAAAAAGTGAACTAAATAAAAATAAAATAGATTTGTTTCCTTTAAACTCAAATACATATAAAATATTTATCAAGTTAATTGTTACTGCACAAAAGCAGACTTAATGGCCTATATTATTTAATAATTAAGCACTTAAAAACTACCAGTAGTCCAAAAACAATGAAAAATCAATTGTCTCATTACTTGGTAGTTGGTAAAAACGGTAGCAGTCTACCTGGTGGTGACAAGCTAATCTTATCGCCATGTTATAAATAAGCTTGTATGTTTGTCAGATATAGTTTGTGTGGATGTAATCAGAGTAAAAACATGTATCACTATCGGATATGAGCACACACACTTAATAAATATTTAAAAAATGTCACCACACTTAATAAATTGAACACGTAATACCCCAATTGGTGCAATTTGATGGGCAATTTCATTCCTTATGAGTTCCTCACGTGGAGAATCGGACCCAAATAATGTGTGTGATCTTATTCTCAAAAGTGACTTGCCACAGCTGATACATACATGTCCATGACTAATAATTGGTGAATTTTCCTGTTCGCTAGTTGGATGTCGTATTTGATTCCAGGCTGCAGTCCAACATGCGTGGCATACTACACTATCACTCGAAACTTGTACCTAATAAAGAAGCCATAATTATTATATCAATTGATATAATTATAAGACAACTCAGTTAATAAGCATTGCTGCAATTGTAGAATGAAGAAAAGGAAGACATGACACATGTTTGTAACTATTTACCTGCTGTGGTCGAACCCATTCTTGTATAAGATTTCGCAGTTCTGGAATTTCCAACAAATGCCTTTGTGTTTTCGCTATATTTAAACAACAATTTACACAGCGAAAATGTCCTCTTGAAATGAGTTACCGAGGGCTGGGAAGAAGTCTGGCCGGCGTGGAAGCTGGGATCATTGTTAACAGTGGATATCGAGTCCAAGTTCGTGCAGGGGTTATTGAAGGAAGCGGGTGCGGGGTCCATGTTCAGGCC